TTAGGTAGGTGCCTCCCAGCCAGTGCCTGCCTCTGGCACCCCAGCCCCTCCTTCACCCCAACTCCCTCCCCAGGTCACCATCCAAACCCTCTGCAACCCCCTGCCCCAGGTCATAACTCCCTCCCAGATGCTGTACCCCCCCCACACACCTCCCACAGGCCAGAATCCTCTCCTGCACCCAAACATCCTCCTAGATCCCGAACCCCGATCACCTGCCCCAAGTCACCACCCACACCCTCTGTAGTCTTCACCCCCTTTCCCCTTCTCCCAGATCACAGCTCCCTCCCAGACTTTACACCCCCTCCTAGTACCCCTCTCCCAGACCAGAATCCTCTCCTTCACCCACCCTGACCCTATCCCCCTATCCCCTGACCCAGGTCACAACCCCCTCCTTTGCTTAAACTCCCTCTCAGACCTCACACCATTTCCTGCACCCCAGTCCCTTATCCCGTGCACCCTTCTGTGCCCAACCTCCATCCTAGACACCGCACTCCTCCATAGAAAAGTGCCGCCCTTGACCACTTTCCAAAATCTTGAAGTGGCCCCCTGCCAAAAATGATTGCCCACTTCTGCTATATTTATTGATTGAAAAATGTGTCCATCCTATGCTTTGGAAGCATAGAGATTATATAATTGAAGCAACAATTCAGATTCATGTTAAAAAATAAATTCTCTTAAATGTCACAGAACCCCTGACAAAGCTCCTTATCAACTATTCAACCTTCAATTCCCTTCCACACCACACAGACAGCTTGGGAGAACAAAGGGAGACATACAATGATGCGAAGGCCATGAATCTCTGCTCTGGTGAATCAAAGTGGGGAGTGAATTCTATAGCTCAAGACTCTCACCAAAAAGAGGCTGTTTCTAGTCTCTCACAACTCAGGATGTGAGAACCATCAGTGATAATAACTGCCACAGTATCACACAGAGAATGAGATGGTCTGAGAGAACCAGGTCCTAGGGAGTTACAGATTGAAGCCCACACCTTAAATGCCATCTAGATATTTTTGGAAGCCATTTTAGATCACTGTAAATATAGACACTTGTATGGGAACAAATTCATTACTAGTGTAATGCTACAGAAATAAATTAATTGACATAAGAGCTAAAGACTGCCCATAATCTGTAAAGTACTTTTGGGTTCTTCTGAAGGGAAGCCTCTGTATAAATTAAAGAAATTATCAGTGAAGAAATCGAACAGATTAATCAGTTCAGAGCCTGATTCAGCCAACCCTCTGTTTTATGATTGCTCATTGTTAGCTGTCAATAAAGCTGCAATGGCAAAAAAGTATAGTCAACCAAATAAAATGCAGGCTCCAGTGAGTGGAATACACTATGTAAAAAAATGTAGCTTATTGATCAGTTTGTGTAAACACAGAATAATTTAAAATAAAGACATAAAGCAAGGAAGAGGAGGAAGCTAACACAGTAATGTTTCCAAAGAATTAATAAAAAAAATCCATTACCATCTCCGTAAAGTTATCAGCACAGGCCATACGAATCTGATCGACAGTCAGGGGGCTGTTCAAGGTGAAGGTCCCAGTTAATCCTCTTTCCTTCCGCACAGCAGCCACCGCATCCCAGATAGCAAAGAACACAGAACATCCCAGGAACAGCCCTGCCTCACCCATCCCCTGACAGAGAACAAGGACAGACACACAAGTTTACTTGAGAAGCTGATAGACAACAAGGGGCCAGATCCTTAATTGACAAACTCTGAAGTAGTTCCATTGAAACTACATTGACTTGCATCTGGTCAATTAACATCAATAGACGTAGGCTAATTTATACCTGCTGAGGAGCTGTCCCAGACACTTAAGTTTTATAAAAACACAGCTGGACACAGTAAATCTCCTCAGGGCTCTGAGTGGTTCAGACCACGGAAGAATTGAAGACAAGGATTTGGCTAATAATACTTTTTTTTTTTTTAATTCACAGCACATCTCCACTATAAGCAAAAGTTCACTCTGAACAGGACTGCATCTGCCACACTGCAAAGCAATAAACCAATTCTGAACTTTCAGTACAAATACACCTTCTACCCAAATTCCTTACAAACGGATTTCATTCTAGTTCCTGAATAGGTAAAGTGTACATTGGATTTCACCAAAGAACTGCAATAGTTTCTGTATCTAGCATCCTTTCCATGAGAAAATGTCTGTTTGCTCTGAACCAGCGTTTCTTAAACTGTGTTCCACGGCACAGCAGTGTGCCGCAAGGCAGTCAGAGGTGTGCCGCAGAGAGAACAGAAAAAATTCTGCTCCCCGCCCCCTGCAGAGCCTGTAGACAGTTCCTGCTGCGGTTGCCTCCCTCCCCCTCAGCCCGCAGGACAGCCCCTATCCCACGGGGCCTCAGCTGCTGTGCAGCCTCCTCCTCCTCCTCCTCCTCCACATGTGCAGGTGGCAGCTTTTACAGCAGCTGAAAACCTACCCACTATTACCATTTAAACGCCACTCTAAGAATGTAATGGGTGCATACATGCAGTATCTGGCACACTCGAATCTCAGACTTTGATAAGGCCTTTCTAAATACTAAGCACATAAGAGGAAGACCAAAAAAATCAAAATATTGTATAAAAATAGCCCCCATTTTCACAGCAGGTGAATTTATAAAGGTCCTTCTGCTTCTAGAGGTATTACCAGTGCCTGTGGTGTTTCCCATTTTAAGAATAGAGGACACCTCTGAAACCTGTAATATAGCAATAGCTGGAAAGCACCTTTTAAATACAGTACATCATATATGCACTTTGGTAGCTGTAACCAAATAACACGCAGAACTTGCTCTGACATTCTACAGCACAGCTAGCTTGTTTACCTTGGAGGAGTAGATAGCAATTGGGTTTCGGGAGTTTGGCAGCAAGTAAACCCTGAGCTGTTCGGGTATGTCACAGACAGCAGGGATTTTATACATATCTGGACCCAGAGTGTACTGCTTTCCTTCAGGGGAGAACTTAATTTCTTCCATTGTATACAGTCCAACTCCCTGAATAAAGGCACCTTCAATCTGAGGGAAAAATGTACACAATTTCTATTTTCATTCATTTTAAAATGTAAAAATGTGAATGCAACAAAACTTTTAGATTTGCAACATTAACTGGTTCCTTTCCTTCCATGGCAAATGGGCCAAAGACCAATGCTAAACTAAGCAGAACCATATAAGGCTACGTTGTATTCATACAAATATTCCTACTGGGTCAAAATCTACTCTCCTTTACCCCAGTGTAAATTCAGAATAAAGTCACTGATATCAGTTGAATTATTGAAGATTTATATCGGTGGAATGAAGAAGAGAATCTGACCTACTGATTTCCATGCCTCTACTCACAGGACCAGGATTTTGCCCAAGAATTGTAATATAAATAATGTATTCAGTCTAAGTTAACACACATTGAAAAAGGAATTGAGCATGGCAACTGGCATTTCTTCCTAGAAAAGTTGTTGCACACTCACTTTTAATCTGAGAGGATAGCCAAAAATTAGGGGTCTTTTAAGTTGTTCCACATAGGAGGAGAAGAAATTGGCAATCAGGTATTTCTATGACACAGTTTTGTTTGTTCACAAAGAATGTACATAGTCGGCTGCGTCTAGACTGGCATGATTTTCCGCAAATGCTTTTAACGGAAAAGTTTTTCCGTTAAAAGCATTTGCGGAAAAGAGAGTCTAGATTGGCACAGATGCTTTAGCGCAAAAGCACTTTTTGCGGCAAAGCGTCCATGCCAATCTAGACGTGGTTTTGCGCATGAAAGCCCCAATCGCCATTTTCGCCATCGGGGCTTTTTTGTGCAAAACAGTTTTTAGCTGTGTACACTGGCCCTCTTGCGCAAATACATTTGCGCAAGAGGGCTTTTTCCCGAACGGGAGCAGCATAGTATTTGTGCAAGAACACTGACAATCTTACATTAGATCGTCAGTGCTCTTGCGCAAATTCAAGCAGCCAGTGTAGACAGCTGGCAAGTTTTTTGCGGAAAAACTTGCCAGTCTAGATGCAGCCAGTCCTGTTTAACTGAATACAGTAGGCAATGAACAGCAGACTATTCCAAGCCTGCTTTTTTGGTCCATATTCTGTTCGTAAACAATTTTTTCTCAGCGCTACATTTACTTTTGTTACTGTCTGTTTAACTTTCTTGTGTTGGGTGCTTCACTTGCAAGCACTCTCTCTCTTTGTCATACACACAGCCCAAATCAGGTGCACAAAACAAAGCCTAAGCCCCTGCTTTTGACAACTCCTGGGCCACCTGAGTCAGCATCTATTTCACTTTTCCAAGTGCCTGTTGTTCTGGGTGTTACAACTATTTTTTCAACCATCTGGTTACAATGGCTTCTTTACATTTGTCCTGCAGCTGTCACACCTCATCACGTAACAAAAGATTGAATTTAATCTGAAAACAGGCCTAATTCATATTTGTGGTAGAAAGTGCAACTCCTATAGTAATGTTTGGGCCTAATTCAGTGGTGGCATAAAGACTGGTGCAAGTTGGACATAAAATTGGAATAAATAGTAAATTAGTGTAACTTGCACATATTTAGCAAGGTTGGGTATGTATGACGGGCATCATTTTTTGGCTAAAGAGAAGGGAACGCAGGTACAGGAGGAAGAGTCTATAAGGGGAGGGCATAAGTTAACGCAAGTCTCATATTTGCTTTACATCATCTTCCTAGTTGCTTGCCCTTCTCCCTACCTGTACCTTTCTGCTCTGTAAATAAATCTTTTGCGTACCGCCTCTGGCATTCTATACCTTGAGGGAGTGTCTTGTAACTCCCTGTAACTCCCAAGAAGCCTGGCCAGGCAGTAGCAGGACTGGCAGCCCTGCTGGGGCCAGGAGCCCGGTCTGACCAGCAGCAGGAGGAGTGGCTGAGGGCCATCAGATAGGCCAGGAGTGGAGGGGCTGGAATTGACTTCCCCTGATCTAGCAAACTCCCTCATTCAGGATTGGTCAGATCCTGAGGGTACTGGACCAGGAAGGCCCAACCTGTGGCCGCAAATGACAGACTGGTTTCCCTGCTGTGTGCCAATATTGGCGTAGGAAGGATGTAAAAAAAACCAGACAAAAACTCCATTCTCCCATCCTAGTAAAAGAAAAAAATTTTTCTGATTGTATTGCCACTACCAGAAAACTTACAGCCAAATCTTGGTCCTATTGAAGGCAATGTATTACGTATGACTTAAACAGAACCAGGATTTGACCGTCAGTAATTATTTTTGCTATCTATGGAGAGTGAGGTAAAGATAAAGAGGAGATGAGAAGAGGGATTTGTGACCTAGTTCTGTGGTATGCCGAGTCCTTTCTGCAATGCCTCAATTCCCAGTGACGTCTGCAGGACCAACACTCACCACGCTTCAGAAAATGTTCATGTTGCAGTAGCAGGCCACTTAATTTGTTATCATGTGCAACAAAAAAGCAAATATTGCCTAAATGAGCCCAATCCAACAGCTAGCAGTGTCAATGAATAGTCTCCCGTGGACTCCAGTGGCCACTGAGGGTGTATCTAGACTACACCTCTCTGTCAACAGAGGGATACAAATCGAGCATGTCAAAATTGCCAATGAAGCCAGGATTTAAATATCCCATGCCTCATTAGCATAAACATGACCACTGCTTTTTTTCAAAATGGAGTTTTTTCAGAAAAAAACAGCAGTCTAGATGTGGATCTGTCAAAAATAAAGCATTTTTTGATGGATCCTGTAAACCTCATGTTTTGAGGAATACAGGATGTCGAAAAAAGCTTTATTTTCGACAGATCTGCATCTAGACTGCCGTTTTTTTCCCCCAGAAAAAACTCATGTTTAGAAAAACTTGTCGGCCACGTTTATGCTAATGAGGCACAGGATATTTAAATCCCGGCTTCATTAGCAATTTCAACGTGCTTGAATTGCATCGTTCTGTTGACAGAGGGATGCAGTCTAGACATAGCCTGGATTGGTTCCCTTAAGGGAAAGTATTTCAGTGCAAGAAACAGCTATCACTTTAATATCTCTAGCCAAGCATTCATATGGAAGTATTGGTACATACCTGTCCTATATCTACAGCTGGATTTATGCTGAAACAAGCATCCATGACTATGTCTGTTCTGATGTTCTGTTAAACAAATATAAACTGTTGTGGGTACATACTTTACAAACAATAAAAATAGCAGATTTTAAAGAATGTGAATCCTGTAAAATAGTATTCCACGTTAACAGCAAAGTATTGCAGATTTATTCTGAAGCGCAGAAGCAAGCTTCAAAGGCCCTGGATTAACACACGACTAATCAGTTTAAAGTGGCTTTAGTGAACACACATGAGCATATGGCAACTGAAATGCAACATTTGCACCTGGCGCTGAGGTAAAGAGCAGCCCCATAATGAACTTGTTGCTTATTCTCTTAGTAGAAGCCCAGTGTTTGGATTGTGGTGGTTAGCAACCACCAGAGTTAGGTTGTGAGTCCAGACATGTGGCAAAGAGCACTGTGCCCAAAGAAAGAAATCCTAATAAGTGGCCACCTGTGGACAGGTTCAGTCTGCGAGATCTCATTTAAAAGTCACACAATAAGGTGGTTGTGCTGAGTTATGTTCTTTGTCATCTCCTATTCTACTGGACTTTCTCATCCTCAGTCTCATTAATTAGCACCAGATCTTCTTTCAAGAACGTTAACGAAGGAGACTGAGAATGACAGAGCCACTCAGAACTATCTTGGCACTTTCTTGAGAACATGTAATGAATGCCACTTCTCTGTTCTCAGCAAAAAAGCAAGAGAAACAATAAGTACATCCAGTACTTTTTTTGTAAGAAAAAAGGTGCCGGTACTCAAGGTTCAAAATTGTTGAGCAAAAAAAAAAAGGAAAAGTTGTTGAGTGAAAAAAAAAGTCACACCAGGGCCGTCGCAGTTCCAGGGCTGTGAGTACACCCATGTAGCCCTGGAGGGAGACATATAGGAATCTAACCAATGTACCTAAGGCCATTTACCTTGTGCTCTCCTGTCAGACAGTCAATTTCCACTTCAGAACAAGCAACTCCAAAAACAAAATATGGGAAAGGTTGGCCTTCCCCTGTGTCCCAGTTCATGTTTGCCACATAGCCTCTAGTGGAAATAAGAGCATCATTCAGACTGAGTGAGCAATGTTATTTAATCTCCAGCAACCCCAACCCCACCCTCTCAATTGTAGAGCACATTGTCATGGCAATCATGTGACAAGAGCAGTTTATATCCTGCTCCAAGCCGGCTATTTTCACAGGCTCTGGCGAAGAAGGTTCTTAGTGTCGCACCCTTGCTGAGTTTCTGCCGCACACAGGAAGACAGAGAGGCTAGGAACGGCACAGACTACTAGTGCCATGCAGCACATCTCAGTGTACATTTTCTGTGTACCATCATGGTGGGAGGCTGTGCAGAAGACTACATTGGATGGTCCCACCTGCCAAACACCTAGCATAGGATGAGATATGTAGCAGGGGCCAGTGAGCATGGCATGGGGAGGAGGCCTTGCATGGCCTTGTCCTTTCCTGGCTGCTGCCTTCATCCAACATGAAGCCTTTATTTGGGCTGTGTGCTATGTGCGGGATTTGTTCTTCAATAGAGAAGGAAAAGGGGAGGGTGAAAAGAATGGAGAAGGTGAGAGGGGACACTTATCCTCAATTGGCACACCACCAAGCTCCACACCTATGATCCTTGATGCCAGTAATTTCAGGAAGACTAACAGTGTTCCTTACCGGAAGTAGCCAGTAGCTGAAAGACTCACACTTTGTATATGAGCTTCGGTAATCTGCAATAGGTACATTTAGCGTTAAAGGTGAATAGAAATTTAGGTAAAGAAATAAAAAATTTTGTTTACATTAAAAAGAAAAGTAACAATGGGAAGAACTAGGGAGCAGAATGGGACAGCAGAAACCCAGATGACAGAACAGAAGTTACTGCATTAAGCATAGTTTAGATCAATTTCACAGCCTCCGCTTTAGGGGGTTGTGCTGGTGTCACATTTTAAATAAGTTCATTTCTAGTTCAGATCAGGCCCGATGACTTGCTGGTGATGACTGAGGGAGGATTAAATTTTGAGTTGTTCATTCTCAGTTCTGTACTCACCCTACTAGACCGTACCACTCTGACTTGGTCTTTACCACAGCAAGAAAACACCTTCATACTTTACAGACGAATCAATCAGAATGTGTTTGTGCCCATTGATATAAACCCAGACTCCTAGGGTATGTCTACACTGCATCCCTAGTTCGAACTAGGGATGCAAATGGAGACAATCGAAGTAGTTAATGAAGCGGGGATTTAAATATCCCGCGCTCCATTAACATGATCTCGCCGGCGCGCTAGTTCGAATCACAGCTGATTCGAACCAGGAAGTGCGCGCCGGGACGCGTTAGTTTGGACTAAAGCCCTTAGTCCGAACTAATGTTACTCCTCATTTTTTGGGGGAGGCTCATGGCACTGGCACGGGGCTGGGCTGCAGGGTGCAGGGCTCATCTGGGCCTGTGGGAGATAGGAGGTGCCAGGAAGCCCAGTTTGGGAGGGCAGTAGGGGCCCTAAAATGACCTTCCCTAATCCAGAAAAAATCCTTCATCTAGGACAAGTCAGACCCCGAGGTTGCCAGACCAGGGAGGTCCAACCCCTACTCCCAGTCTCCTCCTGCACTCTCCTTCCTGGCCAGACACACTACCCCCAGTCCACTCCTGCATCCCTCCCTCTTGGCCAGATACCCTACCCCCACCCTGCTCCTGTATCCACCACTGCTCCTGCACCCTCCCTTATGGCCACACACTGCACCTTCCCTTGCTCCTGCTCCCTACCACTGGCCAGACACCCGACTCCCAGCCTGCAGTCCAGCCCCGTGCCAGTGCCATGAGCCTCCCCCATCTCCTACAGCCCAGCTGAGCCCCTCACTGCTTTGGCCAGATACCCTACCCCCACCCTGCTCCTGTATCCACCACTGCTCCTGCACCCTCCCTTATGGCCACACACTGCACCTTCCCTTGCTCCTGCTCCCTACCACTGGCCAGACACCCGACTCCCAGCCTGCAGTCCAGCCCCGTGCCAGTGCCATGAGCCTCCCCCATCTCCTACAGCCCAGCTGAGCCCCTCACTGCTTCATTGCCCAGATGAATCCTGCACTTGAATTCCCAGTGTCCCAAACCCATTAGTTCAGCTGAGCCCTCTGCCTAGGTTCCCGGAACTTCCCCCCCTGCAGCCCAGCTGAGCCCCCTGCTTAGGTTCCCGGAACTTCCCCACCCTCCCTCACAGCCCAGATGAGCCCTGTGCTCAGGTTTCCGGTGTCCCATCCACAGCCCAGCTGAGCCCCATTTCACTTCCCTGCAGCGCCGCCCCCATCATGCAAATCACTTGCTTTCCCATGCTCCCAATAGACACTGCCTCCTGCTGCTCCTATTGAAAAGGAATTGTCCTTGACTCCTATTCCACCAGTGAAGGAGAGGGAGGGGAAACACCAGCGCACAGCTTCATTCGGAGACTTGGGGCTTTTGGGGACATTTCAGTGCTTCATGGGGACACTGCTCTCTTGCTGCAGGTTGCCCACCACTGACCTAGCCCGTGGGTTTTATAGTAATGTAAAAAGCACACTGACCCAGTCCTCCCATTTCTTTTCAGGGTTTTTATTAATGATGGGTTCCAGGCGTTTCCGAAGAATCCGACAAGCATCCTGGAGAAGAGAGAGGTGGGAAACAATTAACAGAGAACAGAAGATGAATTCAACAGCAACATCAGCACCATCTGCTCTGAAATTTCAAAACCCTAGAGCCATCAAGCTGGTGGTGGCTGTCCCCGGGGGAAGGGAGGGAGAGAGGCTCAAGCCCTTGACCTCTGGCGGTGGGTACCTTAGCCACTGGAGTATCCCCCAACCTCTGTATGTACTGGGTCCCCCTTATTTATCCTATGTCCCAAGGGAAAGTGGTAGCTTGCCAGGAGTCTCTCCTGTCCACCTCTCCCATTTCTGTTCCATGCTGCCTTTGACCAAAGGCTGTTCAAAACGAGTGTGATTTGTGTCCATGTCATTCTGAGTACCATCGTTCCATTACAGCTCCTGAATTACATCCCTTTCTTCTGTGTTCTACTAGCTGACCAGCCACAAAAGCAGCACTTACCAAAGAGCAATCTAGGTGTCTGTTCTATAATATAAGGAGATATACCTATCTCACAGATCTGGAAGGGAGCTTGAGAAATCAGAGTCCAGTCCCCTGCCCTCATAGCAAGACCAAGTACCACCCCTGACAGATTTACCCCAGATCCCTAAATGACCCCCTCAAGGATTAAACTCACAATCATGGGTTTAGCAGGCCAATGCTCAAAGCACAGAGCTCTCCCTCCTCCTTATGAAAGTAACTCATTTGCACACCCATGCTTAACAGAAGCTGCAGCCAAGTAGAAGACAAAGAGCCTGGCTCTCATCTCCTACTGATTTTACACCAACATTATGTCACTAGCTCTGGTCAATTTATAGTAGTGTCAGCAGGAGCAGTCCCAAAGTACACAAAAAGCTAACGGAGCGTCATTCTGACAGTAATCATGTCACCAGATGCACATGAAATATATTCTGAGATCTTTTATCAGCTTGGCTACGTCTACACTGGCATGATTTTCCGGAAATACTTTTAACGGAAAAGTTTTCCATTAAAAGCATTTTCGGAAAATCGCGTCTAGATTGGCAGGACGCTTTTCCGCAAAAGCACTTTTTGCGGAAAAGCGTCCGTGGCCAATCTAGATGCGCTTTTCCGCAAAAAAGCCCCGATCGCCATTTTAGCCATCGGGGTTTTTTTGCGAAAAACAGTACTGTGCTGTCTACACTGGCCCTCTTGCACAAATGATTTGCGCAAAAGGGCTTTTGCCCGAACGGGAGCAGCACAGTATTTCCGCAAGAACACTGACAATCTTACATGAGATCGTCAGTGTTCTTGCGGAAATTCAAGTGGCCAGTGTAGACAGCTGGCAAGTTTTTCCGCAAAAGCAGATGATTTTGCAGAAAAACTTGCCAGTCTAGACCTTGTGTTTAAGTATCCATGCTGATACAAGGACCAATTAGTTCCTCCAACAAACAAGCATGAGAGACTCTGAGACGAAGGCATAGATATCTATATCAGTGGTGTTCAAACTACGATGATGAAAGAAGTGCCAATGTTCTGAGTGAGATGCATTATTTGAAAGAAATAATAAAAATAGTAACCTGGACAGCTTTGCCATTGACTTCGGAGCCAATTGATCCTGCTGTGACTATCGCATTAGGAACAGTTATTGTGCTTGTTTCACAAAAGTGTACATATGACAATGGTACCTTCAATTCACGGCTGGCAATCTGTAAGTAAAGTAAACAAAACTATATCCAGTCCCACTGAAAGAGAATAGTACTGACTCAAGAAAAAGAGCATTGCTGTTACTATATATATACACAAGACTGAACTTGATAGGGGATGTCTAGTGTGACTGTGACAATGTCAAGCACTAAACTCTTATTCAGCTGCTGATTTTGTACCGCTCTACCCTGATGACATGCATATAAGTGTCTTAATAAGAGGTGGGAACAACTGGGAACAGCTACATTAAAGAAAATTCTCCTATATCCTACATTTTCCTACCCTTTTCCTCAGAGAAGGTAGTATCCAGAGAGTGGGTTGGAGAGTTTTGTCTCAGATATTTTCCTGGATGACCTGTTCTCTCTAACTTGACTTTTATTGCATATAGGATACTTTGGGTCAGATTTTAAATATACTGATTAGCTCTTTCTTTATTGGAGTTGAAATCTTACCCTTCTTTCTGCCTAGTCAAAGTATTTGAAATGATTAGATTAGTTCATATTTCTAATTTGCAATATGTAACTGCATTGTCAGAGATATATTTCATAAGCATACCTAATTTCACTCCCAAAGTGAACTACTTTCCCCCTACATTTGATTTCTCTGCACTTTTTTGGTTACAGGCACTTATATCAGAAATTCAGAATCTTTGGCCTCATGTTATCACTGTTTACACTGGAGGAGTTAACCACATAGCATTATAATTTCCTGCATGAATAATTTGTTTTTCCCCTCTCATTTTGGAACCTCTTCATCTGTTGTGTCAAATCCCGGTGCTGATCATCTCCGATGCTGAGACTTGGGACATCGATGCATCCTCTTGCGTGGGCTGTGGCCAGTTTGTGGACTGGGATAAGATGCCGGAGTTGGATCGGCAGCCAAGCACTCACAGCCAGAGCCTCCCCCACACCAGCAAAGAGCTGAAAAAGCTGGCAAGAGCAGGTCACTGGGCTACGGACCACGCGCTAAGAGCTCGGGCATACCACCAGATCATCCAGCGCATCCCCTGCCGGCTGGTGACCCCCGATGCTCTGGTCTACAGGGACGTAGCAAGCAGGCTGTTTGGAAAGCAGAGCGTGAGCTCCCACCCCTTGCCCGAATTCCTCGGCGAGGGCACGCTGCCCACGTATTGCCTGACCATGGAAGGCGTAACCGCCGTGAAGAAAATCCTCATCTGCCTTGGCAACCTCTTCCCTGACATCACCTACGGCCCAGTTCTCCCGGCTGCCGTGGCTCTGCTGCTGCACTACAGCGAAGATGAAGCTCAGTGCTTTGAGAATGTCTCGCGCCTCATCGCTTGCAATGAGGCTCACACCAGCTACATAGACCAGTCCTTCCTGGCCCATCAGGCCTCCTGTATGACTTTTGGGGATCTGGCCAGCAAGCACTGCCCAGCCGCCCACAGATTAATCGCCAGCACCTGTGAAAATGTCTTTGAGGTCTATTCCGAGTGGCTGGGGTGGATCTTCGGTGACCTTCCATTTGACTACGCTATCCGCGTCCTCGACGTGTTCCTGCTGGAGGGTCAGAAAGTCCTCTACCGTATCGCTCTGGCCTTGCTGATGCAGTACAGGCTCTTGGTGACCTCCGGAGAGCTGGAAGCGACCAACGTCCAGGGTGAGCTGAAGGCTTTCGTGCAGAATGTGAAGAAGCATATGGCGGCTGACAAGCTCCTGGAGAGAGCCTTTGGGATTCGGCTGTTCTCCCACAAGGAAATCTGGCTTCTTCAGATGGCCAACAGGAAAGCGCTGGCGGAGAAAGGCATAACGGTGGTTCAGCGCAGGTAAGACTGAGTCATTCGCCAGCGTAGCCATGTGGCATTCCCCACTGCTCCTGCCAACTCCAGACAGGTGCTCTGGGGAAAGGTGGCTTTGAAATGCTTAGAAGCTTCAGGGGGTCACCGAGTTAGTCTGTACAGGATAACCTTAAAAAACAACAAACGCTCTGGTAGCACTTTATAGACAAAACATGTCGATGGGATCACGAGCTTTCGTGAGAACAGCCCACTTCTTGGGTACGTCTAGACTAATGGCTCCGTCGACGGAGCCATGTAAACTAGTTTACCCGACATAGTCAATGAAGCAGGGATTTAAATAATCCACACTTCATTAAAATAAAAATGGCCGCCATGCTGTGCCGACAATCAGCTGATCCGGCACAGGGCGGCAGTCTAGACACAGATCGGTCGACAAAGGCTTCCCTTGTCGACCGATCCACGTCTAGACTGCCGCCCTGTGCCGGATCAGCTGATTGTAGTCTAGACATACCCTGAGTGCCTAAATACCTTTGTGGATCCGGACATTAGTATTTGAACTTACCCCTTCCTGAAGCCTGGCTTTACCCGTAATTCAAAAGCATTAATGCAACATAAGCCTTAGCTTTCAACCTTAGCCTCCATCCTGACGTTGGCTGTTGTAGGGTTTCCCTGTCCAACCTCTGAGCACCATTCCCCTTCTCTAATGATGCAATCTCATGAATCTCTCTCTCATATTTTGATCTTTGTTCAAATAGTTAATTTCTGTCTAACCTGTAATATCTTGGTGTGAATTCCTTGTCCCAGTTCAATTCCACCATGAGTCACCAGCACAGACCCATCTGTGTAGATATGAACCAGAGCTGCAGCCTAAGGAAAAACAACAGAAAATCGTTGGTTGTTTCATTAAGACTGACGCTAACATCAGAACCATTTTTAACAAGAGGATGTACCAACAAGAGCAGAGCTGGAGTCAGATTTCATTCCTAGGGTATATCTACACTACAGAGTTTTGTCGGAAAAACAGCCATTTTTCCGACAAAACCTGAGTTACGTCCACACTGCAATCGCGTTCTTCCAAAAGTAAATTGAAAGGACAGAGGGGTTTTTCTGACACTGATAAACTTCCTCTTTCTATGAGGAAGAAACCTTTTTCTGAAACAGTTCTTTTGGAAAAAGGCGTGTGCGGATGGGGAAGAGGGAGTTCTTTCGAAAGAAGAGGAAAGAAGAAAAAGCACAGGTGCCCTGGTGGCCACTCCATCCATAGTAATCACAGCTTACATGAGAGACAGTGTCCATTCAGTGTAGACGCTATCTTTCAAAAAAGCAGATGGCTTTTTCAATGCGCTTCGGAGTTTTTTTGGAAGATCTTTTCCAGAAGAACATTTTTTTTTGTTTTTTTTTAATCATTGTGAAACTGGGTGCCTGAGCCTAGTCAACATCTCACTTCTGTTGTGAAGTATTTTTAGCATCACACGCCATTTGCCCCTCATCCCCAATCAGAAGAGGAGAAGGCAGTGTTTGATTCTGGGCTGCTGGTCCTTGTGGACGGTAGGCAGAGTACTGACTTTCTGTGGAGGAGTGAGTGATGTTGACATTTAGAGGCTTGCCCACAGGCAGGATAAAAGACCTTCTACTATGAATTGCTACAGAAAATCTCCTTTAGATCAAGTGGTAGAGGCCTGTATCTTACTACCCCCCTCAGGCAAACATTCAGGCTGTGTCTAGACTGGCCAGGTTTTTCACCAAAAC